AGTCATGTTACTGGAGGGCAGAAGCTGGGGGCAAAGGAGAGCGTGTGGGAACCAGGGTTTCTGACAGATGAAGAGCAGCCAAAGATCCACCACTGCTCTGCCCCATTTCAGGCCTTGCATAGCAAGCACAAGCTATGGGGTCTGAAACAGGCTGCACAGGCTTCAGTCTGCAGGCAAAGGTCCCCCTGTCCTTTACCTGTACAAGTGTTTGTAATCAGACTTGAAGCCATGGGGCTTTAATAGTTAATGATGATATTACTGCCTGTGCCATTCACCCCCATAAAACAGAGCTGATTAGGCTAACGACCATCATGAGCAAACAGCACAGGTCAGCCTGGAGGTGTACAGCCCTGTTCAGCCCAACATACACTTCCCACAGAATAAGAAGCAATTCTCAAAGTCAAGGCTGGCCTGAGAGAAGAGATCTTCCTTCCTGAACCCCACTACCACCAGCCAAAACTGTCATAAGGGCTGTCTACAGAGCAGTTTTTCCATCCAAACTCTGCAGTATAATTATAATCACTAACTTATTGTGTTGACACTTACCTTAGGAAAAGTATCCATACAAGGAGTTAGCTATGCTAGGATGACTTACAGCAGAATCCCAACTAGACTAGCAAATGCCCTTAGGAAAAGAAAAAACACACACACTCTCTCCCTGATTTTAACCACATTTGGAGCTAAGGAATTGCTGGCACCAGTCACACTAAAGCAGATCCCATCCCCAAGTAAAGCAGGGAAAGGAGCTCCCTGCTGCCTGGGTTCAGCCATTTCACAGCAGTGCAAATCCCCACACAAGGGCGAGAGGCAGCAGGGGCAGTACAACCACTTGCAGGTAGCTCAGCTGAGGTGCTGCAAGAGGGCTGAATTTCGGAAGGGGAGGCCTCTCTGAACACAGCCAGGGTGATATGCACCAGATGTGCCACCTCACAGCATGACACTCGACTGCTAAGCTGATGCTGAGCCCCAGAGAGGTGAGGCTGCAGACAGCAGCAGCCCTGGGAAGCAGCACACCACATTCCCAAGCGGTGAGTATGAAAAGAGATGTTCTGCCAACTACCTACCAATGAAAGCAATGGCCTCGGGAAAGAACTGCGAGAGGTTCTGGCTCCAGTGATCTGAGATGGGGATCTGCTTGTACTTGAACTCTCCGTCATGCTCAAACATGTTTGGCAGGTTAGGAGTCACATTCAGGATGTATTTAATGCCATATTTGCCCAGGACGTCCAAATTGGTGGAATCTTTGGCACAGCCCAGGTACAGGTAAGGTAGGATCTGGACTGGAAAGGCAGGCTGATTGTTCGGGATGGGGCTCCCGTCCGACTCCGTGGCACTGCTGGGTTCCCTGTCGGATTCGCCATCCGAGCAGTCGGAACTTATCCGCAGCCCTCCCAGACCGAGGACTGATGCTGGGGGAGAGTTGCTGGGTGAGGAGCTGTCAAGGTTTGTCTCGCAGTGCTCAGAATATTCAGTCTGAAACTTGTTAAAGCCACCTGGGAAGGGGGAAAGGAGAGAGGGAAGGGGAGAGGCAGAGAGAAAACGAAGAGATGTTTTATTCTTTAGAATGGGAAATCCTTCTACCCGTGAACATATGTTACTCAGAAAGCCTTTACCAGCAAGAAGTTGGTATCCCTTAAACTTCACAGCAAGAAAAGTATTTCCCTGCTCCTTTATCTTCCCTGAGCAAACTGATACTGAGCAAACAGGTCACAGGAGACCAAGGAGTGGCTCTTACAAAGTTCAATGTTGCTCGTGAAAAATAGGGCCAAATCTCAACCACAAAATAAAGAAACATCCACAAATAAAATCAATGCCAAGACACAATCACACCTTGTTAGCGTCTCAAAAGTAAGGGGCTTGGGCAGTTTAGGCAAGAGCTATTATGCCACTTAGAAAAGTATCCATGTCTGAAAAGACAGATCAGGGACAACTACCACATACTCACCCCAGGCACTAAAACCCAACGCAGGAAAACCCAACGCAGGAAAAAAGACCCTAAGTTTTGCCACAGGGTGATACTCTCAATTATTTTATCATTAAAAAAACAGGCTTTGCAACAGAGCAGTGTGACAGGTTTGTTCTTCACTCAAACCACAGCAGGAGCGCAGAGGGATGGGACCCTTCACATCTGCCCCTAAGACTTTTTCTCCGGCTCTTCAGCTCAGCTACTTGGGAAGGAAGGCAGAGGCAGGGAAGCAAAAACCCCACCGATCTACCTCCTTTCCAGGCGGTATTAAAGCGGAGCTCAGCCATCGGGATCTGACACTGACAAATGGTTTAATTAGCAAGGGCTCCTGGAAACTTCGTTAGTGGGTTCGGCGGTTGTGGCGGGGTCACTGAGCAGGACAGACAGCTCCTGCCACATCCATTCATGAAAAAGGCTCGTCCTCGCCCTCCTCCTCCCCCCGCGCCGCCAGACAGCGCCGAGGAGCCATTTTGGAATTTTAATTAGAAACATTTCCCACCGAGGCTCCCGGAAAAAGGCAGAGAAAGGGGCTCAGCTCCTCCCCTGCCCATCGGGGAGAGTTTAGGAGTAACTTCAAAACCGCTCCTTCCTGCTAGTGATGAGGACGACGGGGAGAGAAGCGGGAATGCAAAGCGAGGGAGCCCATGGGGGGACCCCAAACCGGGACGGGATGATGGGATGGGAGCCTCGCTCACGGGCAGGGATCGGAGGGTCGAGGGAGGAATGGTGTCAACCCCTGTGCTGGCCCCCCACCATGTTTTGGAAGGAGGTGTGTGCGGGCTGCGCAGCCCCGAGGGCTGGACCCCAAATACCTGACTGTCCCCCTGCCGCTCCACCCCGCCACCAGGAGCTTCCCCGGCTCCCCAAAAAGAGTCTATCAAGGAACAGCCGTGTTTTTTAAAGAGCCGTAAGTGGCAACTTTCCTGACCACTCTCCCCCACACACGCTCCCCCGCTCTCCTGTTATTCCTGCCTCAAAGCCGCCACCCAGCGACCGGACTGGGAGCACTGGGAGGATGGGAAGGGTCCCAGCAGCGCAGCTGTGGGCTCTGCTCAGCCCGCTGCGATCTTTCAAAACGGCCAAAAAATCCCCAAAAAACCAAAGCTCCCAAAGCACCCCCAGCCCTGGTGTGCGGGGTTCGGCTCATCCGCAGCGCAGCTCCCCGCTCCCCATCGCCCTGTCCCGGGGGAGCAGCCGGGCTGCGCTCTCCCAGACCCGCAGCACTGCCTAGCAAAGGAGGAGGAAAACCCAAACGACGGCTTTTTGGTTATGTGGGGAGGTAAAATAATAAATAAAAAGGGCTCTCTTGTCCCCCAAAATCCGGGCATTCCTTCCGGAGGGCTGGAGAGGAGCCCCGAAGGGTTCCCTGCGGGGAGCGGAGTCGAGGGGCGCCCAGCGCTGCCCAGCCGGGATCGGCTCGGGACGGGCAGCGCTGCAAGGACCGCGCCGGCGGCCGGGCCGGGGGGCTCCTCCCGCCGCTACCGGGGACGCGACGCAGGAAGAAGCGGGGCACTCCCGGCCGCTTCCAGCCTGCGACCATTTTGTGCGAGGGATTAAAGCGGGATGCAGAGGAGGGGGGGGAAAAACATAGAGAAAAATAGAAATAAATTCGGCAGAACGGATAAGGGAAGGAGGCAAAACGAGTCAGCCACCTCCGTCTGACCAGGGGATGGGCACTCTAGGGATGCAGCGGCCGGCCACGGGCTGCGCAGGGGGACACGGACAAGGGATGCGGGAGCGGGACGGTGCTGGACGGAGGGCGACGGGCATCTCACCTTTCAGGTAATAGGCTTTGCAGCCGTCATCGCGCAGCTTCTGGAGCAGGAGCCCCAGCACGGAGGTGGCGGCACCGCTGTCCTGCCAGTCGGCGGTGGCCTCGTCGTAGAGCAGCACGGTGTCGGCCTTGCAGCGCTTAACGAAGCGCTCCTTATCCTCGTGGTTGGGGATGATGGAGCGGATGGGCAAATTGCCCTTCTTGAGTCGGCGCAGCATGAGCCCGGGGATGGCCAGGTTGATGGCCGTCTCGATGTGCGAGCTCTCGAACAGCTCGTGGGGGCGGCAGTCGAGCAGCAGCAGCGAGCGGCCGCCGCCCGACTCCAGCTCCTCCTGCAGCCACTCCGCGCTCTTGCACGGCATCGCCGCAGCCATGGGCGCCCGCGGGGAGCTCCCCCAGACCTGCGTTTTCATGGGGCTCGGCAGCGGCGGCCGCCAGCGCCCGGCCCGCCGGCCACCCACGCGGCGTCCGGACGCGGCCCCGCTCCGCTGCGTCGGTCTCGCGCTGCGCCGGACGCGGCTCCGCTCAGCACGGCCGCGGGTGCGCGGCGTCTGCGGCCCGGAGCGCGGCGGCCCCCGCTCAGCCCTACGCGCTGCGCCCCATGCCGGCGGCCTCAATTAAAGCGGCGCTCGGCCCGCGGCCCGGCGAGTCAAGCCTCGGGGGCGGGGCGGCGGCGGGGCCCGGAGCTCGGCCCCGCCCCGCGCGGCGCCGCGCGCACGCCGGCCCCGCCCCCGCGGAGCCCCGCCCCCGCGGCCCCGCAGCCAATGAGGCGCGGCGGGGGGAGCGGGGCAGCCCCATATGGGCGGGGCGGGGCCGCGGCGGGGGCAGAGCGCGGGAACGGCGCGGGAGCCGCGGGGGGAGCCGGCCCGGATCGGATCGGCACGGAGCGGCACGGAGCGGAACGGATCGACACGGAACGGATCGGATCGGCACGGAACGGATCGGCACGGCACGGAGCGGATCGGCACGGAACGGATCGGATCGGATCGGCACGGAACGGAACGGCCCGCCACGGAACGTCCCGCCGGCGCTGACCCCGGGCCCTCCGCCCGAGCGCGGGCTACGTATTAATAAAAAGGTCAAGCACTGAAGTGACCCAGCCCACGGGCCGGCGGTGTGCAGCCCCGCGTGGGTTCTGAGTGGGTCGTGCCCAGCCCTGTTTGGTCTTTGACAGGAACTCACAGTTCCAAAATAAAATCGACTGAGACTCATTAAAGCCTCCGCATTGCCTTTCGCTCTCAGACTGAGCTACAACATAGATGTTTTTATCCGTGCATCCTTGTTTATTTTTAGAGTATCTTTTCCTGTTGGCATCCACTACTATAAATACAAACCTTTTGTGCTGCAACAGTAACATTTCAAGACAGGAATGTAACTGGAGGCACCCTTGGGTTTCCTTCCATCTTTTACATTCCTTCTCGTGTGAATCAGTCCTCTGGTACCAGAAGTTTTCCGTGCCTCACACAAACTGTTCCCTGTTACAAAATAGATTTGATCTTTCTCTTTTTAATGAGCGGGATGACATTAAAAATGTGGTTCTGTATGAGCCACTTCTACTGCAGTCTATTTTCACCATGCAGGCAGTCAAACATTGGTGGATTGCTCAGAGAGGTTGTGCAATCTCCATCCTCGATAGATTTCAAGATCCAGCTCAACACATCCCCAGGTAACCTGGCCTGCCCTCAGGGCTGACCCAGCTTCCAGCCAGAGGTTTGACTGGAGCTCTCTTGTGGTCTCTTCTCACCTGGGTTATCCTACAAGCCCTTGCTCTCCAAATTCTTATAAGCATGAGTGGGAACCATTTCTTCTCCCCAGTCTGGGGAGATAAGCCATTCATTATTTTTTTTTGCCTCTAACTTTTCATCTCTTTAGCCTCTTAATATCAACTTTGTCAGCACACACTGTTTGAAGGGAAGAGGCAGGTCTCTTTCACCAGAAGATTCCCAGGCTCAGCAACCTGACTAGGTCTCCTCAAGTTTTGTTTTTTTTCCCAGCTGGCTGAATTTCAGCCAGAACTGGGCTGTACCTTGTGTAACAGGAAAAATATTGCTCTTAAAACACTCCCCGACACGCAAACAAACACGTGCACACACAGAGTCTTAGTCGTAATGTTGTTGAGAACTGTGCTGTTCAAATGGCATTGTCTCTAGGCAGAACTTCAAATTGATTTGTATTTGAAGATGCTTTTCTGGTCAAAATCTGCTTTTCTCAAAGCTGAGATCTACTACTGAAACCATTTCAGTGCCACTGTCTCCTCGGTGGTCTTTTATAGACCCTTAACACATGAAATATTCCTGTGCCTTTAGTACAAAGGCAGCACTTGGATGTGCAGGGGTCCTTCCTTTTGGTCTAATTCCTAAGGTTGGATCCTAAATAAAAATGCCGGCTTAAGAAAGCATTTAAGCGCATGCTTAACTTTGAGCACAGCAAGCATCTCATTGCAAAACACTCTGATTTCAGCGGGACCGTGCTCTGAACCATTCATGGATTTCATTGGCATCAGCAAAATAAATGTCTTGTTCTACATCGCTTTTTTTGTGACTCAAGTGTGCCCAAGAAAGCGGAACAGCAGAAGCTGTCCACTTCCCCTTGCCCAGTTTATTTTTACCACTGGTTGCTGTGGGAAGCTATTGTGATTCAGTGTGGCAGTAGGAAGTTCCTAACACTGCTCTTTGCAGCAGAGGATGTTGAGGTTCTTATGCAAGCCACAGGCACAGTGAAAATAGCTGACCTTTCAGAATGTTTATCGAGGCACCTTCAATTCACAAGGGGAACAGCAGCGGCTTGTGCAAAGGACTAAAATCTGGGTCTAAAGTCCCTGTTGTGCTGAAAACAGCCCAGAAATCTTACAGCGATCCTTTTTGGCGGTGCGAGGGAGGCAGGTGTAGCCGCCAGCGCGTGGTCCTGTGAAACCAGAAGAGAAATGTTTCACCTCCATTCTGCGGTCACATCAGCAACCACATCAGTTTCGGGACAGGCTCCAGACGCGTCACCTGCGGAGACAAGCGCAGATTTCACTGTGAGAAGGCCAAAGCACAATAATGTCGCTTAAGAGAAAGGTGCCATCCTGTGGCTGCCCGGCCAGGGCCCGAGGGCCGCTGAGGCTCCGTCCCCTCGCTGCCGCCGCGCTCGGGCCCGCCCGGGGCCGTGCTGCCCTCTGCAGTCGGGCGCTCCACAGCGCGCCCGGCCCGAGGCACCGCCGGCCGGCCCCGGGCACCGGCACCTCAGGGTAAATCCCTGCTCTGCGGAGAGCTGCGGGCACTCCCCGAAACCCCCTCCCATGGACACGGCATCCTGAGACACGCCTTGCAGGCTGGGGCCAGGACGTGGTGTGCCAGCACCTCCTCTGGCCCAGCGCGGCTGGCAGGGGCTCAGGCATGTCGGTGGTGGTTGTTTCCCCATGCACAAGCCTTTGCTGACAGGCAGAAGATCAACACACATCTAGAAATGGGCAGCTTCCAGCTCAGGGCACAAAAGCCCCAAGTGCTTGTGACAAGGACTGCACAAAGTGATAACCACTCTACGTGTGGATTTATAAAATCGTAGAATATCCTGAGCTGGAAGGGACACACCAAGGTCTTCTAGTTCTGCCCAGGACCATCCCAAGAGTCCCACCACGTGCCTGAGACCATTGTCCAAACCCTTCCTGAACTCCAGCAGGTTTGGTGCCGTGACCACTGCCCTGGGGAGCCCAGGGATTGCCATCATCCCCATACCGTAATACCAGACCTGACCCCAGGTTTCTAATACAGGTTGTGTGCATTTTTCTGGCTGTTTTTCTGCTGTGGAAAGGCTCTCTCCTCCAACAATCTTTCTGTTTGATGCCCAGTGCAGTGACCAGGCAACTTCCCCTAGCCCACAGCCCCATCTTGCTGGCTTGGCTTCAGAGTGCTTTTGCCTTCACCTGTGCCCATCTCCCATGATGCTGGTGCAGATGCCAGCTCAGGTTCCTCATTTCCATCACCTCTCTTTTCCCAGATTCTCTGACTGCAGAGCCCACAGGTTGTTTTGATGCTTTAGAAACAAAGACCATGAGTCATGGCAGTACACAAGGTAAGTGCATCATTAGCAGATGTCTGCCCAAAACCCACTCCAGGCCCTGGCAGCCCCTGCAGAGGCATCGCTCCCAAAGGATGTGACAGATCCTACTTTGTGCCAAGGGGGGAGGTAAGATGTGAGTAAAGGGAAGAAGGTGTCACACCCCAAGGGGATGCATGGTACTACCTACAGCTTAGGTGAGGCAGGGACTCTTAAGGATTTACAGAGTAAAGTAAATTAGAAGCTGGTCAGATGTTAATACATATTTTCTTCTTTAAAATGAACCTCTGAAAAGCTTTTTTTTGTAACATGCACTTTCTCCACAAAACTTCACCCCCAGCCTCTCCCCCAACAAACCTGTGCTGTAGCAGCTAAACCTTCACAGGACTTACCTTCTCACCGCTCATCAGCTGTTTGCTACATCTAATAAGAGGTACTAGGTGTGATTGATGGCCCAGATACCAATCCATAAAGCTATTAAACTCTTTCTAGAAGGAGTCTTCCCCTGGCTCAGGTGTCTGTGATCAAATATCCACCAGTACCAAGACAGGAAGCACCTTCCTGGCAGCTTAATGCTGGACTGGCAGCTCCAAGCTGTGTTTTGTGAGCAAGATTTCAGCTGGGAATTTGCTCAGGTAACCTGGGCCCCCAGGCCAGCTCTGTGACGTTGAGTGAATCCACAGTTTTGGGTACTTCCCATCTGTAGAACAGGGCTGATACCTCCCATCACCTTTGCAAGCGTTTGGGTGCTAAGGAACCAGGCAGGTGGGCTGGTGTGATGTTAACATCCTCTTGCAATGCTGAATTTCTAGGACTGAATCATTTTTTTCTATCTTAAAAAAAAATGTTAAAAAAGACTTTTTATTTAACTTCAGCTTCCCTTCCTAATTATTTAATGGAGTAGGAGTTATTTTGTCAGGAGAGGGCACTTGTTGATGGTTTACCCCATGTTTCATTAATGCATAGAAGAGGTTAACTCCTGGTAGTTATGGCAGCAGATGCATGGTTTTAACAGGGGGAAAAAATCCCCAATTTTACTTTCTACTCTTGCACTAATTTGTGACTATTTTTATCTATGTTAGCACTGAGCCAGGGTAAAAATACTCCCTAGAAAGTTTAGAATTTACATTTGTCTTCATATATATTCAGCAGAAATCCAGCTCCCCAGCCTCCGCACTGCCTAATCTGGACTCATTAACTTCACCCGCCCCCGAGAAAAATGTCAGATGACTTTGGCCTGGAGAAGCCTTTCACCCACAAACACTCAGCAGGGGGGTCCAAGTCTCCTGTCTGCAGCAAACAATCCCCGTGGAGCATCAGCTCTGGCACTGCAGGTATCCAACTCAGCCAATGGGAACAGAGTCACCCTTCCTAACACAGCCCTGCCTCGGGGCACAGTCTCCCATGTTGGGCTCCATCCCACGGGGATGCTGAGCCCTGGAAGCATCTTCCACATGGCAAGGCAGATGGATGGAGGCTGGGGAAGAAGCACCACAAGGAGAAACCTTCGTGGAGCATCTCGTGAAACACAAAGCAGCCACAAGCACGTGGAACTGGCATTGCCAGGTCCTGGGATAATGCCATTTTTCTTCTATTAAATGGACATAACATTTGGCTCTCTGAGATGCCCTTTTGCTGCACAGCTGGAGAGTTTCATGTCAATGTGTCAATGAACTCTGCTGCAAAGACAACAAAATTGTTCTCTGGCAGGTTCCTGCAGAAGAAGCAAACCATCCCCAGGCACATGCAGTGTCTGGGCACCCTGGGGCCGTTACCATCTCACCACAGGGGCTGAGGCTGGAGGTCCCTGAGTGCCCAGTCCAGCTCCTGTCTCACAGCAGCATCTCTTAGGGCAAGTATTGCACCTGCTATTGGGTATCCCAATATCTCCAAGGACGGAGATTCCACACCTTTCCCAGGCAAGCTGGTGCAGTATTTCACCATCCTCACAGTGAAAAAGAGAAGTGACATGTCCTGTGCTTCAGTTTGTTCCTGTTGCCCTCACTGGCCACCCAGGAAAAGCCTGAGTCCATGTTCAGGGTTTGAGGAACCCCATAATTTTTATGGAAATGGGTGTGTTTTCTGTGAAACCCAGGAGAGAAAGGGGGCTCATGTTTAAGCAGGAGCCAAGAGCCCAGAGGCTCCACCAGCAAGGGAGGGCAGCTCCAATCTAATTAAACTGAGAAAACACCCTTAAGCAACACCATATCCCTTCTTCCCTGCTTCACCTCCTGGGCTCCAGGCTCCTTCCAGAGGAAGAACTGGAGAATATTTAAGATTATTTATCCTTTTAGCAGGGAGTTTTAAATGAGGAGGTCTGGAAGCTATGTGTCACCATCCTTAGGAAATCCTCCCCTGCAGAGGACCAGAGGAGGGGAAAGCTCCAATGCTCCTTTGGCAAGAGACCCTCCAGAGTCTGTCACTGCAGTGATGGAGTGGGACAGGCTATTTATGGGACTTAAGAAGCCAATAACATCTACCCTCAAGCCTGGCTCAGGCATGTGTTGGACACAGCCTGAACAGCCTGGAGGTGAATACAGACCTCCATATCCCATTTATTCCTCCTTTTGTATGCCAGAAAAACCCTTCCTCCTTAGGAAAGAGTGAAGCAAGAGAGAAATGGCCCAAGACATGGAGTGCAGGACCTGTTGGTGCTGTCTGAGCTCCAGTCCTTGGCTCTGCTGGGCTCCATCCCCTCCCTGGCTCTGCAGATCCAGCACCTCGCCTGCCCTGTGCACACGTCAGTTCCTCAGCAGCTTCTCCAGACAGCCAGGCTGTTTTCAAGAAGCAATTTCCTGCAGAGGAAGATTTTTTTCCCAAGGAGCCTAAGTGGGGAACTTCCTGGTGCAGGCTTTTCATGGGAAACCATTGTGAAAGCAGCTTCACCACCCACCAGGAAGGGCTGTCACTGAGCAGGCTGCACCCTGCTCTGTGTCCCCAGCCCAGCTTCCCAGTACATCCCCAGGGATGAGAGTTTTGTGACTCTCACTCATCTCCCCAAGCTGCTGGAATGCTGACTTGTGGCACGGGAAGGGGACAGATGGTGAAGATCTGGGCTGGGTGCAGGCAGTGCAGAGCCTCCCAGGGAAGGTTCTGCATGGCCTGTCCCTCTGGTGAGAGAAGGTGTGGGAGAAGCTGAGAGGAGACATAAGACTTCTCCATACTTTGGCCCTCCAGCCTTTGTATTTTCCCTCTTCACTGTGCTGCTGGGTCTGATTTCAAGCAGGGCCACCAACTACCAGGACAGGCTTCTCCCCACACAGAGGTGGGTGGTCACTGCTCCTCAGCCTGGTTCTGGGAGACACCTGGGTTTCTGGGTGCTCCTCTGAAATGCAAACCCTGCCAGGGCTTCTCCCACTGCTGCAAGAGTGGGGCAGTCCAGCTCAGCTCTGCTGTGGTGGAGCCAGGGCAGTCCCAGTGGCTTTGGCAGCACTGCCTGGGATTTTCACCAGAGCACAGAGGCAGCCTCAGCACCGTGGCAGTGCCCCACTGATAGCCCTGGCTACCAGTGAAACCCCAAAATGCACCAGTTAAACCCTCAGCCAACACAGACACTGGGGCAGCAAGTTGCACTGTGCTGCTGCTGCTTCTCACCATGGGTGGTGTTAAAGTCAATTATTGTCCATATCCTTTTATTCCAATGAGCTGTGCAGGTCTCCCAGCCCATGCATGCTCCCAGCAATGCTGCTTTTCATTCATGCAGTTGCTCTGGTGTGAGTGTATTTTGTGGCTATGGACGGACAGGCAGCCCAGGCTCGTGCTCTGCTTTGAGCTCTCACCACCTGTGCTGTGGCAGCACTGGTCTCCCATGGAGAAATTCTGCTGGATATCTGTGAAGATGCTCTAGCTCCAGACATTTTTTTCCTTGCAACAAATTCTCTGGTCTTGCAACCCCTCACTGCAGTTAAAATAAAACTAAACAACACCCAAGAATCCATTTCCGTGAAGCATTTCAGGAGCAAGGGGTTGGTTCCTCTTTCAGAGCATCAAAAAACAATTTCTATTTTCCTCACAGTGTTAGCAATGTTCAGCTGAGCCCTGCTCTTTTTTTCCCCTAAAAAAAGTTTAGTTTCCAGGAAACAGGACTTTATTTTGAACACGAAGCATCTCTTCGGCCAGCCTGACACTCTTGGGTACACTCACAACTTTTGAATACACATATATGACCTACAAGAACATGACCCAGCATAGAGGGAACTAAACCAGGTCTCAGAGAAGAGTCCAGTCACTTCCTAACCTACCACTGGCTTAATTGTGTCATGCTGGGCAGGTCCCTTCCTTCTGTCTGTGTCTTGCTTTCCAGGCCTTGAACTGGGGTTTAAGATCCTTCATGCAGGACTCTGCTGGACCTCAGAGCTGGCAAGAAGTATCTGGAACACTCACAAGGTGCCAACCCAGTTTCTGCCAGTGGCAGCAGTGCTTGGTCAAAAAGGATGAATCAAAACCTCCTTTCCCCTTGGCCTGCTGGCAATGCTCTTCTTAATCCAGCCCGTGATGTTGCTGATTGTGAGAAGGCACCACTGGCTCATGGTCAGCTTGTTATCCACCAGGACCTCCCAGGTCTTTACCTACAAAGTTGTTTTCCAGCGAGCTGGTTCCCAGTTTGTGCTGGTGAGTGTGGTCATTCCTCCTTGGGGGCAGGAGTTCCTAGTCCCTTTGCTGGACTTCATAAAGCTCCTCTTTGCACACTGAGGTCCTTGTGAATGGCACCCTGGAACACGCAAAGCCAGGGGAGCAGGGAGAACTCACAGCATTTCATAGCTCAAGTGGTGGATCTTGGAGAAAAGGATGGAATTGGAGACACACATTGCTCCCTTCTGACCACTGCCCACAGCAGAGCGGGGCACTGGCCTTGGGACACCCAGGGCATGAGGAAAGGGGGATCCTGCCAGCAGCTGGTGCCACCCCAGCACACACTGCCTGTGTTCCTTCACTCACCATCTGACAAGCCAGGAAGCAGTGCTCAGGGAAAGAGGTGACCAGGCAAATTCAAGCAAAGACATCCCAGGGAATGAGTCACTGGCTCTGAATAAGAAGCCAGACTCTGCTCTGGAGGGAAAGGGCAGCAGGAAAGAGGAACGCTCCCGGGAGACTGCAGGATGGTTAAAAGGCTTTTACTTGGAGCTTGCATTGGAGACCCCCAGGCTGTGGCAGCAGAGGAGTGAGAGCAGACTCTGGGTGTGCCCACAGAGCAGCTCCTGCCCACGGGGACACGGCAGTGGGAGCTCAGCTCCTTAAGGAGGCTGCTCCCAGAGCGGGAGAAATCACCCACCTAACCCAGGCTTTTCTCAGGAAAGGCTTGGCTCTGGTGCTGACAGTTCTCATGGGAAATGTTATTTCCTTGAAAACCTTGGGTATTCAGGTCAGCTAAAATCTTTTAGCACAGTGGCACCAGACACACTGAGCTGGTTGAGTCAGAAGGTAATTTCCAATACATGTAAGGCAACTTCCAAGGACCAGAGTACTTCATCACCATGTTTTCCTGGTGACAGCTTCAGTTGTTTTGCTTCTAAGAATCAGCCTTTTGTTCACTCTTTTAGTTTATTTCCTCATGGAAAGCCTTTCATTTACTCCCCAGCATTACCTGTAGCTATTAATCCCAGCAGGTGAAGGAGGTGGAAGAGGAACAGTTCTTCAGCAGCAGGGCCAGCGTGCCAGAAATGGTACTTTTTTCCTAAGCTGTTCATAAAGATAACAAGAGATGAAAAGGTTGTGTCAGGAGGGGGACCTTCTCTAGCTGGAAAGCATGAAATACAAGAGCACTGCTGTCTCTTTTGGTGGGGCCCTGGCATTTCTGATCTTATTGCTCCAAGGCTTTGCCCTATGGAGCAGATGCCCCAGAAGGCCAACCAAGGTGGATGGGTAGATGGGAGGAGAAGCTGCCAAGGGACTCACACCCATCCTAGAGGGGCTGCAATGCCTCAAAGAGAGAAGAAAACCTGGCTGGAAAAACAAAAAACAAACAAAAAAAAACCTCAGAGCCCAGACTTGTTGGGTGAAAGGTGTTGGAAATGCAAATCATTAATTTAAAGAACTGGGCCAGGAACCAGGGGTGCCAGGCTGAGCTGTTATCTGCTGCATCAGCTGCGAGCCTGGCTCGGGATTTCAAAATAAAATTAGACTTGCAGTATATGTCTTTAAATATTTAAATTACTTTCAGTAATTCATATGGTGACATTTAAACAAAGCACAGCAAGCAAACGGCTCCCAGTGCTAAAAGGAAATGTTTGCAGGTAATAATATTTAATTTAAAAGGGAACAGCTGATATCAAGGCAGAATCTTAATGCTGAATTCAACCTACATTTCTCTCTCAACCAAGCAGGGAAGAATAAATCCCCAGGCAAGTGAATGGTTAAAGATGTAGAGTGGTGTGATTAAAGCGCTGGTCCCAGACACCCCAAAGAGCTGTGAATTATGTGGGTGCCTAAATATTTTCAGGACTGGGGCTGATGTAGTTTTGTTGGCTCCCAGAGGTGGGGACCAGCAGTTTCATGCTGCAAAGTGAGGACCATGGGGGCTTGGTGATGCCAGCCCCTCCTGCCACACTCACCTTCCCACAGCCTTCCTGGGCCCTTTGCTGTGAGCCTGTTCCAGAAACTAAAGGGAAAATCCATCCTGGGTGCAAACAAGATAACTCAATGAAGTCAGCTCACACTCAGGCAGCTTTGCCGTGGTGCTGCCGGCCAGTTTGGAGAGCTTAGCTGGGTCTGTTACATCAGTCACACTGGATTTCATAACATCAGACATTTCAATGAGGGTGACTCATTCTCTCTTGAAGGGTATTGTATGTATGAGCAAAGATGATTAACTTCTGCTGAATGGTATGATTTCTGGGATGGGAACTGCTATTAATTAGGAGCGGATCTCAGATGTTCACAAACCCTGTTTTCATGGCCTACTTTGTATATTTTCCTCCATTCTACTTGTTTTTTTAGCTCAGGATAAATATTAAAGTGCTCTTCTCTGGTATCTGGCACTAAAGCAGCCAGATGTCCAGCAAAGGCATCTGACTTTCATAGTCAGGCACGGCCCAGGGCTCAGTTCCTGTGGCAAAGCTTCAGCTACTTGCCCTAAAAAGCTCAGTTTTCACATTAAAAGCAAACAAAACAAAATAAAAGGGAACTTCCAGCCTGCACAAGTGCAGCAGATAAAGTACCAAGGGAGGTAAAATAAGCAGAAGTGGCTCAGAATGTATAATCCAAAGAGTTATCCTTTCTCATCCCCCGCCTGCCCCCCAAATTTTATTTATCAAAAGAAAGTTGGGGGCTTATGCTAATCTCATGCTTCTGGCTGTGGAGGGTTGAGGTTTGGGATTTAACACTGCCAAGGATCATTGGGATAAAGGGTTTGCCAGATTCAGGGAGAAAAACACCCTTTCAGCTGCACTGCCTACAAAGCCGGACAGAAGCTTACCAGCAGAAGGGTCAGGGTGTTCAGTGTCTTCAAGCACATCTGCAGCACCCAGCACTGTGGTCCTGCAGGAAGTGCTTGGAGAAATGAACACCAGCCAGCTTGCAAAAGCCAAAGAAGGCAGGCATGGGATGGAGCTGTTCTTTCCCACCCCAGGCATTGCTGGGAGATGCCAGGGAGCAGCCAGGCATCACTGACAACAGGTCAGTGTTTAACAGCCACCACCTCATGATTCTCCACATCTCCCCTGGGATGACAAGGTCCCCTCCCAGATCAGCTCCCTCTTGTCCTATCCCATAGCACTGGCAGCGAGCAGCACAACATCCCACAGAGCCAGACATCCCACCCTGCTCCAGCTCCATTTCTGTGGGCAGTAAAACAGTCCTGGGAACAAACAAACTGTGGTTAGTCCCTCTGCCTGGGCAGCAGGGAGCTGCAGGAAGTGCCCTGCTCTTGGTTCCTGGTGAGACACCACTGTGAAAGTCAACTCTGATTTCCCGAGAGGGAAGGGAAGGGTCACAGCTCAGCCTGGTATTCTGCCAGCAAGGATGAGATTCACGTGCTTTGCCCAATACCCCGTCCCCATGCCCCCTCCAGCACTTACAGCACTCCTCAAATCTCAGGCAGGGGCTGTGGGCAGCAGTGAGGCAAACAAAGGTCACTGGATCTGTGCTTTTCCCCTTCCATCAGCTGAGGCTGCTCGGAGCTCCTGGGCACAGGCTGGAGAGCTGGTCCTGCTCCACAGCAGGCAGTGATGAGGAGCATGAGCAAACTCAAGAGAAGCAATTGTTTGTAGTTAATTGCAACAAGAAGAGATTATTTTTAAAATTAAAACTCAGGGCTGGATGTTTGAGCACAAATGGGGGGTGAGCAGTGAAACTGCCCTGTGGGTGTTTGGAAGCTTTTGGGGCAGTGACTTGCTCTCCTCTACCCCTCCTGCTTCTCACCAGGCAGGGGGCAGAGGGGTGACCTGCCCTGGCTCAGGCAAGTACCCAGGCTGGTGACAGCACACCTGGAAGCACCTGCTGCCCAAACCTCCCTGCAACCACCACAGCTCCCAGGCTTACTCTCGAGAAGCTGGGAGGTGTGGGGGCATTAGAAGGCTTCTCCTTCCAGAGTCAGTGGTGAGGAATGTGCATTTGAAACAGAGATAGGGCTGGTTTCACTTGTGCTGCACACCAAATCCAACCATGAGGCTCTCTGAGATAAAGTGGCACGTAGGGGTAGGAAAACCCCACAATTTGCCTAAATTTTGCACCCATAAAACGCCACTAGCAGATCAAAGTGTGGATGTATGATTCAGGCACAAGTCTGGGATGTGTGAGCTTCTGCCCAGGCATGCAACGAAGGCTGAGCCACGCAACACCAAGGGTTTCCTTGGAGACTGACGCAGAAGGGGCTTCTCCTCCAGAAGCACTTTCTCCCTGCTTTACCAGGCAAAGGAACACCCTAAATCCCGTCCCCACCCTAAATCCCATCCCCACCAGGAGAGCCAGCAGGGCTCCACTGCGCCGCTGGAGGAAGGGGCAGTGCTGAGAGCCTGGAGGGGGGTTTTCCTCACCTTCAAGCAGCTTTCCTGTTGCGCAACTCACTCGTGCTTCTAAAAATGTTTGCTGGAGCAACAGTCTCTAAGGCGATTTCCATAACAATGGGTGCAGAAGAACGATCCACGCTGCTGGAGTGATTCGCTCGCTCACATGCTTGCTGAGGACCGGGCACACCGCAATTCCAGCAGTGAGATGTTCCTGTCAATGAGAGAAAAAGAGGATTTGAATTGCTCTCAGCAGCTGCTGGAAAGCTCCCCAGAGGTCCTGCTGTCCATCGCCTAGCCAAGGGGCATTGCCAGAGTCTGCAGGCACAAAAACACCCACAGCAGAGGTACAAAAGCACAGAAAACGCTTCCACAGCTTTGGCTGGTGTGTCGGCACTGCCCAGCAAACACACACCAGCACAGGGGCAGGACCCAGCTGCATCTGACACCAGCCAAAGCTCCTGCTTCACCCGGCGCCTCAGTCCTTACACAAAGCCCCCACGTGTTGCTCTTATATCACAATTCTGGGTGCTCAGCTCCAGCCAAAACCAAGCAGGTTTGCTCCTTCCCCACATCTTTTCCAGCTGACCCATTAAAATCGACACTCAGCCAGTGCCTCCAGTTTGAATCGCTCACATCCTGCCATTACAGCTTTGTTTAAATCTGTGCAGAGCTCAACCTGTTGTCAGACAGACACTAATTGGTGTGTTTCTAATTATTTGTTTCCATCTTAAAACCTGTTTTTCAGCAGATTGCAGCTTTATTTTAATACATGCTTGGCTAGAGCTTGATATACTGGTTGCCAGTAACCTAGACACAAATGGGATTGCATTGCACAGGGGGAGTAGGGGAAGAAAAGAGACTGAGTTAAACTGAATTAAGAGCCTGTTCATAAAAATGAATTAAGCAAAAATATGAAACAAGCAGCACCGTTGCATTGCAGAAGATAGTTTCTGTATTCCTGTTTCTACCTCTTCAAATAAGATGAACCTCTGCATTCGCAAAAGGGCATTTGAAACATCTCCTTACACAAACGCTTTGACCGTGGTTTTTTATGTGATCAAAGCTCTAAAACTTAGGGTTAATCCTTTTTATACTCACATGGTTGGTGTTAAAAATTAGCTCATCAGTGGGTGACCAAACCAGGATCAATCTCCAGGATTTTCCAGGATGTGAGTGCAGACACTTGGGCACTGTCCTCAGCCTCTTCATTCAAGCAACACCAATTGGCTTTTCCTCTTCCAGGAGCACCCTGGGCCCTTTGTATCTTGGTCATTTTCACACAAGTCTTCAGAGGGCAGGAGAAGTAGCTGAGGTGCTGCTCTAAGGCAGCTGACATTGCTGGCACACACCAGGCAGCACAACCTCTAGGACCTGCCTTGCTCCATTGTCTCTTTGTAGCTCTTTCTCCTGTGCTGAGGATTTTGGGGTCTCTGATCTAAAATGCAATTAAGAAGACCGAGGCAATTAAACAAAAAGAAAGCCCTATGTTATTTGCTGGCAAATAGTGACTTTTTAGTGCAGGTCATGTTCTGCACAGCCCTGGCTGAAGCTGCTTGCAAACATCCTCACCTTTGGCTTCTCCTTTCCAGCTCCCTGCTTTTCCCTGGGTGTGGGAAAATGCAGCAAGAGCATCCCACAGACAAGAAAGCTTCAGTTCCCCAGCCCAGGGGTTGAGCTGCCCACCAGGACAGGCAGGAGCCACATGAGGACTGGCAGTGTGCATCCAGCAGCACGTTGTGTCCCTGGCATAACCTGACCTCTGGTTGTCTCCACAGTCATCCACAAAGGGAGATTGAAATCCTTGTGCAGCTCTTTCCAGCACTGAACACACTCTAAGGACATTGATTTCTCTGCAGGCTTTTTGTCAGCAGACAAAGGGGCTCAAAAAGCTGATGCAGCCAGTGGGGTGTGAAGATGTACTTCCCAGGAGGAGCTAACTGCTAGAGGGAATTGGGTTTTCTGTTGTCAGCACAGTGGCCTGGGATTTTGGAGGAGACACCCAGACTGAGGGCACAGCCCAGAGCACCTGGTCCATCTTGCCCCTGGTGGACAGAGGCCCAGCTGAGAGGCCAAGAGTGGGCAGCATCTCCAGATGAACACCGGTGGTGCCCTCCCTCCTGCAGGTCTTGGATTCTGTGGGATACATGGCCCAAAGCAGTCATTCCATCAATGCCAAGCAGCATGGAGGTCACATGGGAGAAGGCCTTTGCCAGGCTGAATTTTGGGATGGCATGTTGGTTTGGTCCTTGCAGAGGAGCATCTCATGCAGACACATCTGCCTGCACCTGTAAACTGAGCCAGGGGATGGAGAGGGTCCATCACCTCCTCTTAGCCCTTCCCTATTTCCACACAAAGACATTTTTGGTGAGCTTCTACTCCTTTTTTTTATACTAAAAAGGAAAGAAAAGAGGAAGATATGCACTTGATGTTAAGGAAATCTAACAGAGCGTGCAGCAATCCAACTGCTCAGACACATATGCCTCCTTCCTTCTGCTCCGTACCAGCGAGGCTGTGCCATATTTAGATCTGGCTCCATCTCTCACAAACTTGACCAACTGTTCTTCCACAGTGTCATCTCTGCTTGTTTACCCCCAAACTGTTCACTGAAATCCTCAATTGGATGAGGGGGAAATAAAAAATAATAATAATAATAATATTTTTTAAATTGTTTTATTTTTAATGACAGGAAAAGCACTAAATGCCAAGAAAGGCATATCATAACAGTGGTGGGTAAAGAGGTGGAATGACCCCTTGGTGAGTCATCATCTCCATCAAGGACCTCCAGTGTGAGGAGGCAGACGTGTTTCCTAGAAATTGCTGTGCTGTGGCCGGGCCAGCCCCATGCTGGCTGCCAGGGCAGCGGCTGGCCGCCCGAGTCATCGGCCCCGGGATGCTCCCACAAGTGTGTGCTCCCACAGGAGCGGCCCTGGGATGCTCCCACAAGTGTGTGCTCCCACAGGAGCGGCCCTGGGATGCTCCCACAAGTGTGTGCTCCCAGAGGAGTGGCAGGTTCAGTGACCACACATGAAGGCAGGCACAGAGCTGTGGCCATGCTGGGGTTACCTGGGTGTGACTCCTCCAAGGAGCTGTCCCATGTAGAGCACTGGGTATCTGCAAAGCAAAGGGTAACAGCCTCCCTGAAGGAAAGGCTGAAAGTACAGCTTTGTTACAAGTAGGACACATGGAAAGAGCAGAGAGCATTTCCTGACCTTCCTTGTTGTGCCAAACCATGGCAAGTTCACTCTAAGTTCAGTCTTTGGGCCTCAGCATCGGGACGGGAATCAGGCAGAGGTGGTCATGCTCCACACTTTCAGCCATGGTTGTTTCACACATGGGGCAGAGGTGAGCCCTTGTCCTCCCACACACAGTGAGGAGCCTTGGAGACTTCTCTCTGAACATCCACACCTCTGTCTGGCTCGCCTTTGATGTCCTGACACTGCTGTCTGCTGGAGGGCCTGGTGTCCGCCTGTCCTGCAGCCTTGCAGGATGTGCAGCATAGCACCCCCACACCAGCCATGGGCCATGTATACAAAACTTGCTCACACTTGAGACAGATCTTAGGGAGTTAAGAGCATTTTCTTGGCTTGCTGTGCTGGTGGAAGAGCGACTTACAGCACAGCAGATGGATAAAATTCTAATTTGGGTTTCACATGATTTATATAAATAGGCTTAGACGAGGTTGTGCAGAGATGGCACAGTCATCTGCCAGCCTTGCTCTGTTTACCTCGAGACCCTCTCCTCCCTGTGTTAATGAGCACCCCAGCAGTGTCTTGTGTGCTGGCAGTAACGAGTCACCTCAGCTGTGTCACCTCCTGCCAAGGCCACGGCTCTGGGCTGTGCTGCCAGCAGGGCCCACCTGGCTGGGCACAGCCTCTCAAACCCAGAGACAAATTGTCAAGGAGCACACCAGAATCACAACTCCCACGGCTGGCTCAGGAGAGTGGGGCAGGGTATGGACCACACTGCTTCCTACCCAGGTGAGTGGGAACAAGACCAGGGCTCTCCCAGCCCCCCCTCACTCACAGGACACCAAGTTCTGTTGGGACCTCTCCCCAAGGGTGGGTGGCTCAGAGTCAAAGCACACCAGTGGCCCCACTGCCACTCTCATGAAAATGACACAGAAACTCCCCCTCCCCCCCACTAGTGTGTCACCAAGGAGCCTTCACCATATCCTGACAAAAATCATCAAGCACGTCTCTGTTGGGTTTAGTTAGAAAACTCTTCCTCATCTCCACTGCTCCTCTATCCCTCAAAGGGTGACATGAGCTGGTGCTGCTCCTAAGAAGGGACTTGTGACAAACAGATGAAGGTCTGGCTCCTATGAGGCTCCAGCATGTATCTGCTGAACATCTCCATCACACGTGTATTGTCTCCTAGAAATCAAATGTGACGTGATCCCGGCAGGAAAAAAGTAGAAAACTAAGCTGCTGGTTTCTTTAAGTGGTCACCAGAAGCTGGATATGGGACAGTTGCATCTTCTCAGTGTCAGATACAGCTCAGGGGTCATTCATGCCTGGTGCAGAGGACAGGGGCAGGGCTCTGCTTTTAGCACATATTGACCACCAGATATCCCAAGGTCTGAGACTCAGGGACAATCAAAGCAAAAAGGCCAGGTCTGGGCTGAAACAGGAAATGGGACACAAGTTTCTCCAAGGCCAAAATCCAGACTGCCAAACAGAACAACACTTCTCCCTGTGGGCCCAAAGCACCCCATGCCACATGGTCATGTAAAACCTCTGCCTTTGAGTGCCTTTGGCCCTGGCAAAATGATCATCATCACAAAGTAGACACATAGTTTGAGGTAGAAAATGATGAAAACATCATTAAACTAGCCCAGAGTTTGTCTGCCTGCATCCTCATTTTTACAACCTGATTTTCTAAAGAAACAAGGTTCTCACTGCCATACCACCCCTGCACCCCTCCTCTCCAACTCTCTTTCTTTTTGGACACTTTCAGCCACACTGTACAGGGACTCCCAGCTATTATGGGAATGTAAGTTTTGTGAAGTTTGGTGGCTGATGAGGTGATGGTGTGTGTTTAGCTTTTACTGGCCAGTGAAAGCTCCTGCACGCCCTTTACCCCACAACATAAACCCATCGGAAATCAGGCTTTGCTGGTTTCCGCCGCTCGTGGAACAAGTTGTATTATTTGTATAATTGTATCCTAGGAGCCCTAGTTTCTGTCCTGCATAGTCCCTGGCATGAGCAGTATTTTCCACGGTCAGCCTGGAAGGAGGGAGCAGACTTTAACCCCCTCAGTGCAAAGAGCAGATTCCCACATCAAGTTATTTCCATGCAAACCTCCCTCTGAGAGAAAAAGCCCTCCTAGGACCAAGGCACCATGCAGAGAAATCTCAATGCCAGCAAGGGTTGCCTCTAGGAAAGGTGCAGGTGGCTTGGGAACAGTTGGGGACCCTCCTGGTGGGCTGCTTGACCCTTCATAGCTCCTGCAGCCAGTACCATCCTCAAGCCCCACCTTCAGCCTGGCTGCTGCCAAAACTCTCTGATTCAGCCTCTCTTTCCAGTCATGAATCATAAACCAGCTCTTCACCAGCTGGGATAAGGCTCAGGTCACCAAACAAAGGAAGAAAAATAGATTTCTCATGGGGCAAAGCAGATAAACCCCTATGATTTGACAGAGCTTCACTGCTTGTGCATCTGTGCTGGAGGAGAAAAGTGATGTTATGCTGGCAGTTGGAAATACCTCTGCCCAAGGAGATGCAGGCAGAGCCAGGTCCCTGCTCTGGGCCACGGTGGAAGGTAACAGGAGCTTCATCAGGAACCTCCAGCTTGAGATGAGCAGGCCAAGCCACACATGGCTTGGAGCTTCTTGGGATCTGAGTCTGGTACATGGTGAAGAACCGCAGGTCCAGAAGGGGAATTCTTCAGGGAGATCACAGCCATCCCAGAGCACAGCCACCCTAGTCCTTGCTGTGCAAGTCCATCACTGAACTCCTCCTTAGCTAGCCTGAGCCACATCAACATTCCCACCCCTACTTGTTCCTGTTGTCTGAGATCCGCCCCTAATTATGGGCAGGAGAGAGAAGGGAAGTACAGAAGGGCTAGAGATTCAGGTCAAACAGTAGTGGCATGCTGGGACTCCAGCAACTCCTAAGAGAGCTGCAAATGTCCTGTGGATGAGGGTTAGGAGAGATGCAAGGTGCAGGACTAGGTGGCCCATGGAGGCCCCCATCAGCACCCCCAAGGACTCAGAGCCAAAGCTGGACTTTGTAGTGTGGCTTGTGGCATGTGTGGGCCTGAAAAACTGGACCATGAAACTTCTGTTGAGCTTGGAGTTTGTGCCGCCCTGGGAAAGAAGAGCAAGTGGCAGGGTCAGGGCACAGCCAGCAGCTGGGCAGAGTGTTCCTGCATTTCCCAGTGCCCACAACAGTGGCAGATGAGAAGCACGTCAGGCAGAAAATATTTGGGGTTTTCTTCTAATAGTTGATGCCTCTGTGCTGAGGACATGCAAAAAAAAGGGCTGGATATTCTGTCAAAACCATTTCCCACTACTGCAATGTTTTTAAGCAAAACCCAAAGCATTCCAGAAGAGACTGGGGAAGACACCCATAAACCAGAGAAAATAACTTCGGTTTAAAAGGTTTCAGAACTGGATGATTTAATTGTTTCTGGATTTCATTTCAGAGTTCATTTTTCCAAAGTTTCTAAAATGTGCCTACTTAGTAGTAATGGCAAAGATATTTTCTTGGAGAAGTGTGATTAGCTTGTAGAGGCAATGTTTGAAAAATAATTAAAAAAAAAAATAAAAAAAATAAAATTTTGCTAACTCCCCAGAGCACAAAAATCACATTTGTCTAAGAATACACTTACAACAGCAGGATTCCACGAGCATGTGAACCAGCAGTTGGTATGGACTCAATCTCTGAGGCTTTCCCAGTGTCTTAGCAATTAAGTGACATTATTTCAGTCCCAAGCAGTAGAATTTCTTACATCTTCCAACAAATACCCCGTCATCAAGCTGGAAGTTTTGACAAACAAGACAGCTGATTCCTGCCACAGATCACAAACCTCTGTGAGTCAATGCTAAGCACGGATTTCAGCATGAACACTGAAATCACAAATCCAGCCTCGATCCATGCCAGCAGAAAAGCTTGGATGAAGCATCTACTGAAGCCTCTTCCTTGAGTGAGGGACTTTCCTGAGCTGGGTGCTTGGGGTCACTGCCTGTCCCTTGGGACACAGGGGCATCAAAGCCTGGGTTATTTTGGTCTCATGTGGAGTGAAGTCACCACCACTTCAGTGCCACTGGTCCCCATTCACAACTCCATTCACTCCAGAGCATTCCCATGGCCAGATGTTTATCACTTGTGTGTCACCCTCCAACTATTTTGCAGGGGTGGTAGGAGTGGCTTTTGGAAGACATTTGAGTACACACACAAATACAGGCTTCGGCTGCTGTGTGTTTGGACAAATAAATAAGTGCAACTAATCAGTAGAAATGTTTTTATGTTAGCTGTGACCGGGAAGAGAGGCTCCCAGCCCTGCCAGATAAAAATCCTCGTGGGGGTTTCTAAGTGCACCCAAAACCAGCTGGACTAAGACCTTGCTTGTTCACCCCATGGATTTGTGTGGGCGAGGAATTTAAAAAATATAGGAAGCTTTTAAAAAATAAAACTAAGTAAACAAAATAACCCCTCTGCCTCTTACCTTCACACAGTCTGAACTGCTGGAAGAACAACATGGCTCTGCGTGTTGGGGAACACAGCCCTGAGCCAGCTCTCTCCAGCCCTGAGCTACATCTGCAGATGTAGCACTGATGGAGGTGGTTGCTCCCGCAGCTCCTAGCACCCAGAACCAGTAGTTTATGTCCAAAACAATCACTCATATACATGTATTCAAAAATACCTGGGTTTTCACTCCATTTATAACACACCTTGGAAGGTCAGCCTATCTGGGAGTGCTTTTCCTGGCCTCACAGCACGGCAGCAGCAGGCAAGCCACAGTTCTAGTACAACACCAGTAGTAATGTTCTACCCCAGATAAAGCTGTCCCAGGCCCACTTGCCTTGATGTCCAAAACAGGTGCTGGCAGGATCTGGTGTTCCTGCTGGTTACAGGCAGTGATTAACTGTTTCCATATCAGGAGATGGTTTTGAGAAGACAAATGACGAATCAGCAGCTGCTGCTCAAATGGAGCAAGGTTGTCAGGACCTTGTCAACCTATCAAGGTTGTTTGCAGTCAGGACCTGTACAGGGGAGGCAAAGCACAGCTTGAGCATCTACTGCCACCCTAAATACTCTGAGATCATTGCAGCAGCCAGGAAGCCAGAAACCATCCCTGTGCAGCCCATTCTGCTGAGGTCAGTAGGGCAGATGTGCTCAACACCTGGCAGCAGGTCCTAGCTCTGATCCCTCTGAAACCAGAAGCTAAAGCTCCCATTTAGCTTCAATGGAAACAGGATTTGGCCTGGATCTCAACTAAACCCATGACCATCAATGGCTTTGCTTGGGGTTTAATTCCCTGGATTAAAGGGAATTTGCCCCGCAGTCACTCAGGGAGCCCCAGCCCCCTGGGCAGAGCTCAGCACCCACATCCCAGCACCACCCTGCCACAGCCAACGAGAGCAAACCAACCCAAGGGCCCTGGGTTTTAAACAAACAAACAGCAAAAAGAGAAAGAAAAAGGAAAAAAAGAAGAGCATTTATTTCCCCTGCAGCTGTGCTCTCCCAGACAGAGGATTTCTGTGGCAGGACAATGATGCTTTATGCAGCGAGGTTAAGTTTCAGTTACTTGAAACTATCAGCTCTTGTGTTCGAATCAGCTTATTACCTCCACAGTCAAACAAGGCTTCCCCACGGGCAAGGATTCGGTCATACTGTTCAACTGGACACAAAGGTCAGGCAGGGCTGGGTTTAAAGTGATCCAATGGGAGATGCCCAAGGCTGCTTTGGGAAGGGGGATACAGCAGGTGTGTTATTCATCCCGTTGGGAGAGCCAGGGCCCGTGTGTAAGAAAGAGGAACCCAAAATCAAGCTCTAGAGCTGGGGTTTTGGTTCCTAAATGTCCCCTCTAATAGCAATTTACTACCAGGTAGCATCAGTCCTGGTCCTCTCCAGGTATCTTCAGACCCAGTGTGACATCTTCAGTAGAATTTCACTTTATCTTTCTTCAAGCAAACCTCCAACCCAGTTCTCTCCTGACAGCTGCCTCTCCCACCAGCTGTTTGGGGAGGGCAGCACTTCTTCTAATTACCTATACAAATTCTCTCCATGACCCAAATGGGAAGAAACAGCCGTAGACCCCATCAGCTGCAGTTAGGCTCTGCTTGAGAAGTTAATATTTGGGCACATCCCACAGTCAGCAGCACATCACATGTGATGAAGGCATTTCAGGGCTGCAAAGATAAAGAGAGCAGATGCTAAAGCCTGAGTGGTGCTTCTGAGCTGAGGCTGCAGGGAGGCAGTCAGAGCACAGGGAAGCACGTATTTAATGCCACCTGGGGAGGCCATGGCTGATGGAGCGTTTGCATTTGTCCCCATGCAGAGGACTTACAGGGATTTACAGACCAACCTGGTGCCATGCAAAGGCAGGGGAAACATCCATCACGCTGCACATGTGTGGGAGGCAACGTGCAGTGGAACAGGAGGGAAACAACTTGCCTGCATCTTCTTTGCTCCCATCAGAACTGCTGCTCCTCCAGCCAAAACCTGGATCCCCGTCAGCCCCTGCACCACTGCAGCTTGGCATGGAGCAGGCAGCAGCCTGGGAGCCGTGCTTGGAGCTGCTCCAGCTCTGCACAAGTCTCCAAAGGAAAAATGTGGCTTCCGTGTTCTGATCCACCCCTTGCCCAGAGGTGAGACACATCACTGAGCTGTAGAATGAAGATATGGTGTGGGATCAGCTTGCTACCCTGCGGTCTTGACTACCAAAGGAAAAGATGCTGCATTACTAGACCCAGCTCCCAGGAATTAATGCCCTGGGAAGGGAAGGTGGGGGAGGAAGACAGAATTCCCCAGGGATGCACAGAAGCCGGGAGCTGCTTGGAGCTCTCTTCTGGGGTGCGTGCAGCAAAGCACTAAGGAAGCTCCCAAACATGCCCAAAAAGGCCTTTCAAACCAAAAGCCTTTTTCTCCCTCCCAGCTTCCTTCCCAGTTCCTTGGGATCCCAGTACAGGGGAAGGAGGAAGCACAAATGCAGAGGAGGTAAGCAGAACCTTTCTGAAAGTGGCATGAACCATGCCCCAAAGCAGGACCAGCTCTGTGTCCCAGATCCACACACCTCTTCCTCCATCTCCCTTAGGTCCTGTCCTTACAGGCACCACCTGAGCTTGCTGGATGGCTCCTCGTGCCAGGGGACATCGTGGCCTCACCAGGCAAGCCCCAAACACTCTGGAACATGGAGCAGAAGCTCAGCTGGGATTTCTGCACGAGCCAGCTCTGCCTGTCCCTCAGGGGCACGGGCCAAGAGCCAGTCACTGGTCAGGAGCTCAGGGGATGGCCTCCTAGACATGACCACCATTTCATATGCAGATTTCATACCTTCCATCTTCAAGTAGCTCCTAAATAGCTTGATTTAATGATCCCACAATGTTTCCACCCAAGCCCCGGGCTATGGGAAAATTTGCACAGGTGTGGCAGTATCTCATTACACAGCACGAAGGAACAGCTCCTGGCTCTGTGCACCAGAGCTTCCAGAGTGCCCTGGATGTTCTCTCTGCATCACCCCCTGCTCCAGATGCTCCACGTGCAGCCAACGTGAGCCTGGGCACCTCTGAACTCACCAGCACTGGGACAGGGGCTGGCACAGAGTGCTGAGGCTGGGCACCAACTCCACCACCCCTCACTGCTCTGTCTGGTACTTGCCATCACAGGGTGTGAAAAGGCACAGGCTAAGTGAGCTAAATACCATAATTATTTAATATAATTAACCACAGAATTGAAATAGGCCCATTACCAAGGAGATAGGCTGCTCGAAATCTTCCCTCTTCTTTTTTGAGCACCAACACAAACACAGGAAAGGCTTTGTCCTATCATCCCAACGGGGGAGTGGAGAGGAGTAGGTCCTGCTTTTTGTTTTGCTTTTGTTTAATTAATATTATTTTCAGAGATAGCTGTTCCTGACTTCAAGAGAAGCCATGTCTCATCTCAGGCTCTGGCACTGCAAGATGCCAGCATGACCCTACCTTTCTGGACAGGTACTCACACTGGTTTGGATCAAAGCAAAGGAGGCAACTGCCTTCCACATGCCCATCAACCGCTTCCCAGGGCTGTGGCCAGCACCTTTCCAATGGGGATAGTGAAATAATTCATTAATTACTTCCATCCTTTGGTGTTTCAGGAGGGGCAGCTTGCAAGAACCATCCATTCTGAATTTTTACACCTTCTCAACGCAAAACAGATAATTTTAAAACATTTTTGGTACTCCAGTGGAGATTTTTCCGGACCCCCTTCTCACTCTTGCAAAAGCAAAAAGTCCTTTCTGGACAATGCACAGTGGATGTGCTCTGGCCACATGCAGCCCTTGCACCAGGACTGGAGTGCTTCTGCAATGCTCTTCTGAGGTGATGGTGGGATGCAGCAGGGATATTTCACAGCATACTGAGGCTTGGGTTTTTTCACCAGCAATCAATTCAGCCCATAAAAGTTGTGCTGCATTAGGACATCCCCCCCTTGTGCTTCAGGTGCAGCTGGAGAACGTCAGGTTCAGTAACAGCCATCCTGGGCTCATAGCCAAATAGCCAATGCCCTCCTGCCACCTCCTCCAGGGCCATCCAAATCCACCACTGTGACCCACAAGCCAAAACACACCTTGAGGCTCTTGGGGCTTTGAGCAGAGC